AGATGTTAGAGAAGGAGAGATAAAGAGATAGAGAAGGGGTGGGTAAATGAAAAGATTGATTGCGTGCGTGCGAGAATTCTGCAAAAGTAGGAAAAAAGTTGTCTTGACCACCGGCCGTTTAAGTCGGTTTGAATTAAAAAAACAAAAAAAAAAAGTTCAATTAAAAAAACAAAAGGCATACAAATGCAATGCAGTGCAGTGGCAAAAATGTAAAAAAAGGAGGACACTTGTCAATTTTAGAGGAGCACTAAAATGGACACGTGTCGCCCATAGAAGGGCACAAACTTCTTTGTATAAGATATAAGAGAGATATATAAACAGATTTACCATTTTTTAAAAATAGCAACTAAATTTTTGGTCAAACCTCTTTCTTCATTAAATGTTTTCTACTTATGGCAACTTTTTTTTTGGATAGGATTTAAAGAAACAAAAAATCCCTTATATGAAGGGATTTACTATCAAGATATACATTATCCAACTTATTTGAACGATTCTGTTAGAATCATTTGTAAGGGATTATCTGTCTTCTATATCTGTTTGATTTTTTTTTGAAATTTAAAAATAAAATCTTTCCTTTTTATCAAACTAGAAATCCAATTTAATTTGGAATACCAATTTGGACTCTTCCCCATCGGCCCCATAGACCCTAACCACCCTGCCCTCTTCCCGTGGAGCGCCGTCGATGGACTCTCCACCATCAGCTCAATTGCCAGTGACGGGAGTGGCTCTCACGCGCCCCCTTCCCCCGCACGTTGCGCTCGAGAAGCAGTTAACGACTTTCGACACCAGCTCCACGGCTCCAGCAGCCTGCACGAGAATATTTGAGGCGTCGAAGTGGAGCCTTCTACTTATTCCCCGGTCTCGCCATGTACCTTGTGATTTTTCTAGCTTGATTTTTGCTCTGTTTTTCTGCATTTTTTTTTTTTCAATTTTCATTTGGTTTTTTTATGTTGCTAAGGTGACATTGGGAGCTTACGTATATTGCGTTTCATGGAAATCCTCGCCTCTTGAAGTAATGTTTGTTTTCTGCCTTGAAATTTAGTGGAAATTACATTGGGAGGGGAAGATAATTTTTTTTAGCTTTATAAGGCGAACTGAACGGAGAAGGTTCTGGCCGGTTTTCATGGTTGTTGGATGTGTGGGCTCCAGGCGGTTAGTTTGCTTGGCCCCGGATGGTAATCTAGAGGGCCTGACAAGAATTTCGGTGCAAGGCTGCTGAAGGCGGATGGACTCCGCAACATCGTTCTGGACGTTTCATATCAAAGGTCGACTGAACGGACATATCCTGGCCAGAGAAGATGTTGGGCGGGGTCGGTAGGCTGGGCTGAGCGTGGGGCTGGGGCTGAGAGCGGGTGTCGTCAACGACAAGAGCAGCTGGTCGGAGGCGCAACTGCGTTTTATGGTATTTTCCAGCTTAAGGCAGCGTTGGACACCATGAAACGTGTTGGCTGGTTTTTGCTCGAAGGATGCCTTAGCGAGCTGAATGGAAAACAAGACGGAGCTTTTTCAGACTTGGTTGAACATGGTTGAACACCGTACAAGTTGCCGGCGGAACTGGACATGGGGCCATGGTGTAGTGTCATGCTGGTCAGATACCGGTTTGCCATGGTGCTTCACGGGAAAATCTTGCTGCCGTTATTTTCTGGAAATTTATTTTGGCAAGCATAACGCGTGAAAAAGATG